AGATTGGGACATAATAAAACCAATGTTTCCACAGGCAAAAGGTGACATCTTATGGTACATACATTTGATAATTCTGTTTTTAATATCCACCGTTTGGGTGAAAACAAAAAAAGAAAAGAAAGGTCACAACGAGGCAATTATGGTTCACCGTTTGGAGTTATGTAAAAAAAAAAAAATTTGTAGGTTGGAAGGTACTACTTACTACTCGCAACGAGGGTGTGGCATTACGAGCACATCCAAAATGTTTCATTTTTAAACCAGATTGTCCAACTTTCGAAGAATGTTGGAAAATTTTTCGACGGATAGCATTTCCTAGAAAAGATACCAACGGTACGTTTTCCAGGACAATCTATGAGGATTTTATTTTTGAAGTGAATCATAAACAATGATTGTTTTAGCCTTAAATAAATTGACATTAATATCTTCAAGAAATAATCCATTTGAACATTCTTGTTATTGAACCATACCTTGATAGGATGTATATATACTTTGATAATGTTGTAAAGACTTGAAGGTTGATGAAATGGAAGAGATGGGTAAGAAGATGATCAAACGTTGTGGAGGACTACCATTGGCGGTAAAAGTGTTAGGAGGTTTGTTAGGTTGGAGGGACTACTTTAAATGGCGACAACAATAGTTTGGTTTATTATGTATTATCTTTGAGCTTTGAAGAGTTGCCTAGTTGTTTGAAGCATTGCTTCCTCTACCTCGCCCATTTTCTAGAAGATTATCTCGTAGATGTGGAGAAATTGTCTTACTACTGGGCTGCAGAAGGAATACTAAACCCAGAATCTTATGAAAGAACAAGCATTCGAGATGTTGTGGATGGCTACATAGAAGAGTTAGTTTAAAGAAATATTTTTGTGTCCGAAAGAAATGGTAGGACTTTGAGATATGAAAAATGTCACTTGCATGACATGATGAGAGAAGTTTGTCTTCTTAAAGCCAAGGAAGAGAACTTCCTACAAATTATTAACGGCACCTCAACTGTGAATTCTAAATCTTCTTGTAAATCTTGCAGACTCGCCGTACATCAGCTTGATAAGACATTTAATGTGGAAAGGGAGATGAATAATCGAAAACTTATATATCTCTTGGTTATCTTGAAAGACAAGAGAACAGATTGGATGGCACCACATTTATGCTTTACAAGGCTTAAGTTGATGAGGGTTTTAGATCTCTCTAGAGTCCAGTTTGAAGGCGGGAAGTTACCTTCGAGCATTGGGAATCTCATTCACTTGAAATATTTGAGTTTATATATGGCGCATATAACTCATCTACCTTCTTCTATGCGGAAACTGAAGCTGCTGCTCTATTTAAACCTATGTGTACATGAGAGATGTTCAATCTACATGCCCAATTTCTTGAAAGAGATGCGAGAATTGACAAACCTTTTTCTTCCGTTGATGATACGTGATAAAGTAAAGATGGAATTTGGTAATCTAGTCAACCTGGAGACGTTGGAGAATTTCTCAACAGAGCATGGGAATGTGAAGGATTTCCAAGGTATGACACGGCTCAAAGTACTCTCTATCTCATTCAACAGCAAGGGGTGTACTATGGAAACTCTATCTTCATCTCTAAGTGAATTGAAACACTTGGAAAATCTTACGATATATGATGATTATAAGTTGTATGCTCCCACGAATGATGAAGGTTTCTTTTTGGATTGCAAGAATCTCAAACAGCTCAAGTTGAGTATATATATGCCAAGGTTACCTGATGTGCAACGCTTCCCTTCTCACCTTACAAGCATAACTCTAAGTGGTTGTTGTCTAGAGGAGGATCCGATGCCGATTCTAGAGAAGCTTCTTCACTTATATGATGTCAGTTTATTGAATAAATCTTTTTTTGGAAGCAGAATGGTTTGCTCGGTCGGTGGGTTTCCTCAATTGAAGAAGCTAATATTATCTACATTATATGAGTTGCACGAGTGGATAGTAAAAGAAGGCTCCATGCAACTTCTTCATTCTCTGACTATTCTAAATTGTCGAAAGTTAACAGAGCTTCCTGATGGGCTGAGGTTCATCACTTCCTTGGAAGAGCTGGATATGAACACACATACATTGGAATTTTGGAAGAAATTGTCAAGAGGAGGAGAAGAATACTACAAAATCCAACACATTCCTCTTTTGAATATTGTCTAAGACTCTCCAATAATAGGCAAACAGGTAATATTATATTCTTTCACATGTCCAATAATGTGGAAAATAAATTTATAAAGAAAAGGGATTATGTAAAAATAAATTGAGAATGTAAATGGAATTTGTGTTCTCTTTGTAAGAAAAAGTTTAGTAGAACAAGTAAAAAGTAAAAACTGATTGTTTTTGTGGGTCGTACTTGAATAGAGTTAAGATTTTGCTATACTAAACGTTGAAGATAGCTTTGGTTGTAAATTATGGTTCTGCTTTGGTTATCTGCTTTTCTGTTTTTTTTTTCCTGGATAAGATGGGAACAAAACCGGTTGATCCGGAAGAGGAATTGCAGTGGATGTCCTAATTAAGACGTACATGGTTACATCGAAACTGTACTCACCAGCCTAGGTGCCAATGTTCCAAAGGTGGACTAATTAGTTTTCTTGTGAAAACACTAATTTCCCATGTCCATCTCGCATTTTACTACACGATCACACTACTTGAACATGTGGCTTCAACAATTATTATTCTCTGTCAAGTGGAGAAATCAAAGAAAGATGCTGAATCAGCTCTACACTTTTATCAGGTCTCATATCGTTTTCCCAATGTATTGGATTTGATCAGAATGAGATGTAAGGTTCGTTCTTGGCTTAGTGCTATCAGTGTCATATACCAAGTGATTGTTTGTTGGCGTTGATAGTAACAATCTCTGTTTCTATATGTACTCATTTTATCTTGTTTCTGTGGAAAAGTTATTAAAGAAGCGATTATCATTTTCTATCTTGCTATGAATCCCACTAAGATGGACCAATTTGATTGAAATATATAAATTTAATGAAAATGTTACTAAAGTTTATAAATTATTTAAAAAATAGAGATAACATGGCTCTTTTTTCAGAATATTTATACTCTATAGCTCTTTTGTTTGAAGTAGCACTTTCAAACATTTTTGCCCTGCAAAAAGACAGTTTAATCCTGTCATTCATTTATTATTAACCAAACCAAAATTAACCATCTTAAACCAAAAAAATAATTCAAACCAATTCAATTACTTATATCTCTTTTCTCTCTCTCCTACACGTGAAAATATTGTTTCTCTCTCCCATTTTATGAATCTTCTTCTTCTTACAAGTATCTTCCTCTCTTCCCTCTTACAAATAGTATTCTTTGTGTGTATGTCTCTACAGATTCTGGGATTAAAAGGAACTTAACCATGAAACTAATTTATCAATTCATATGTTTTTTTCGAATCTAGCTTGTTCTTTTCTATATCTGTTTTGCTGTTTTCGCTTTGATTTATGATATGTCCACGCCCACTTGTCCATGTACACATTCCCTATTTATTCTCTTCTATACGTAGGGACTATGATGCTTAAAAAACTTATGTAAAAGATATGTCCATATGGACATGTACAAATAGATGTTATTAAAAAATTATATATTTTTTGCTTAGTGTGAACATAATATGGTCTCAGATTTTTTTTATCTGGTTTTGGATGTTGAGAACCAGATTGACGTGGACAGTGCGTGAGTCTACATACATATTCATATTTAAGATGCAATATGACCAATAAATCATGGACAGATTATCATAGTATCCGCCGAGGATGTAGAAGATGAGAATCAGATGGACGTGGATGGTGAGTCTATATACATATCCATATTTGAGATATAATATGACCCATAAATCGTGGACGTGGTCATCATAGCATCCGCTGAGGACGTGGATGGTGAGAACCAGATGGATCTAGATTGTGAGTATATAGACATATCCATATTTGAGATACAAGCGTCCATATTATCTTACTTATTCACTTATATTAAAACATGAGAGCTTTCTCTCTAAAACTTTCAAGATTAATATCTTGTCTATATAAAGATAACCATATGGAACATAGTTAATGGTCAAGTTTCAACAAGCAATTAAAACAAGAAACAATATACAATACCGTAGGGTTGTTGTCCAATGGTCGTTTTTTAAATATAATTTATGTCCATTGTGGTAAGAACACATGGAGACGAACAAATAAGGATTATGTGGTGTACAAGTTTACATGGACAACTAATTTTGATTGTCTGCAACTATCCGAATCTGGAGAAATACGAATTTTGGCATGCTCATCTGGTGTTGTCGAGTTATCTCTGGGTTTAACAGCTGAAGATGAAGAGTGGTGGTGGGAAAATTTGTGGCCACCGTTGATTAAAGAAGAAGAAGAAGAGAACAAAATGGTTAAGAGGAAGAAGAGAGATCTGAGAAAGAGAAAGAGAGATTCAAAAGGAAGAGAAAAAATAGAGAAGAGGAAGAATAGAGATTTGATAGAGAGAAATCTGAGAGAAAAAGAACGTGCTGGAGAAAAGGAAGAAGAGAAAAGGATAAAATTTTCAACATTTTACTTTAAAAAACTAGGTGGCTAGCCCGCGTCCTGCGCGGGCTGATGCTCTTCAAAAGTTTTTTTAGTTTTGAATGTAATTAGTTTTGAATGTAATACATAAACAGTTTTTTGTGTTTTAAATTTAATATTCGATCCATATTTCGAAAGTTTGTTGAGTAAAAAATGTAATATTCAAACCATAATTGGAAGCTTATAAATTGATTTGTATAATGTTTAATATATATATACTTAAAAAAGCATATTATAACAACTGATCATTTAATAATTTTTTAATTCAAACAAACAGAGCTATTCAAAACGTTATCATAGTGAACACTAATTCATAATATAAGAAGATCCAAAAGATAAATCAGTTAAATATAACAAAATTTAAAAGATAAAACAGTTTAAAAATACCAATGACCACCAAAATAATATAACTAATATCCAATGTAATCTAAACATACTTTTAGTAGCAAACAAAACAATCTATTCAAACTAACCGCGAATTTCTATAAATGTTTTCAAACACGTCTTTGTAAACAACATTCATTGTCTTCATTTGTGCTTTGCCATTCATATCTGTAATAAGAATCTTCAATCCTTGGCGTGATGTAACTCTAGACACGGCGACATAAAGTTGACCATGCGAGAACACTGGCTTTGGCAAATATAATCCCACCTTTTGTAGAGTCTGACCCTGACTTTTGTTTATAGTCATAGCAAAAGCTATGGTAATAGGAAACTGCCTCCAGCGAATTCTAAAAGGAAACCTTGCTTCTGGTGGTGACACAAACATTCTAGGTATGATAACCTTTTTTCCTATTTTCTTCCCGGTTATATGGCTTGCCTCGATTACATGCCTAGCTAACCGAGTAATAAGCAACCTTGTACCATTACACAAACCACCCTTAGGATCAATATTTCTAAGCAACATTATTGGAGCTCCTATCTTTAACTTGAGAGAATGATTTGGCAGCCCTGATACCTTTATACTATTAAGATACTCCTGTGTATAGACGACTTCGTCTATTGTGCTTGTGTCTGAAGTATCAATGCTATCGGCACTAAGGTATTCATGTTCCTCACCTAATAAAAACAATTCAAACTATGTTAGTACTGATATATTTTAATTATAATATAAATACGTATTAAAATGAATTGTGATAAATCATATAACGAAGACCTTTGAGTTCTGATAGCATGAATTCATTAATAACGTCGACATCCTGATTCCGTGGACTGAGTATTGCCCTTTCCTGAAAAAAAACTGGTTCACGAGTGGTTGTGTAAGATTGACCATAAATCTCCGAGACTATTCTCTTAACAGGATCACCTTCTCCGCTTATCAGCAAATCCGCTGGAATTTCTAATTCATCTCCTATGGTATCATGAATATTTAGTTTTCCATCACCAATATCCAAGATCCACTTGGCGAATTCTTCAATTTCTTGATTATTAAAATCATTATCGCCACGAAGCAGTCTCATATTTGTCTTTAGCTGCAGAACTTTGCAATCAGACCAAATATGAGAAGAATTCACAGTTGCCAATATAGTCTCTAAGCTATTGCCTCCGACAATAACAGGGAGTATTTGTCGAAAGTCACCACCCAAGACAACGACCTTTCCACCAAAGACCTTATCACACTTTAGTATATCACGCATAGTCCGATCCAATGTCTCAAAACAATGCTTGCTCATCATCGGAGCCTCATCCCATATAATAAGATCGGCTACTTCAATCAGCTCTGCTTGGTGTGATCCAGAACTCACATTACAGAATATATACTCGTTCACAACTATGGGTATTCCAAACCGAGAATGCCCTGTTCTTCCTCCCTCTAATAACAATGCTGCAATGCCACTTGATGCAACATTGAGAACTATTTTTCCTTGAGAATGAAGAGCAGCGCCTAAAAGCCTCCATAGGTACATTTTACCTGTCCCACCATATCCATAAACAAAAAACATTCCACCGATACCTCTTGTAACTGCATCCATTATCTCATTGTAGATATCCTTCTGTTCATTGGTTATTGTTGAAAACAACTTGACATGATCGTTTGCAAGTTTTGCACGATCGTATGATTTCTCATCCCGAATTAGATGATTTGATTTCTTATACTTTCCAATATCATCAGGGACTGGCATCTCTCCTTTATAGTCGGATAATGAATGACCGTTTCTGCGCATATACTTCTCTATATCTGACAAACCAAGATTCTTATATTGGACTTCAGTCAACACCAAACCTAAATATACAAATAAGCCTGTTAGCAACTAAAATAATGTGAATCTTGTAAAATAGTTTAAAATTTCAAATCCATCTTACCTGGGTCATTCTCTTCACACCTTTTCTGATATAAGAAATCCTCGGTTAATATTTTCCAAGTAGCATTCCAGACGTTGATCGGAACTGCTACACTACTCGAAAGAAGCATTATAGCAAAAAGTTTACGTAGAAACTTTCCAGTTCCCCAAAAACTGGCCTCTTTAATTCCTTCGATGTATTCTTTATCATCGTCTAACAAACCAAGCGCAAAGCATGCTTCTCGGAAGGAAGAGTATATAACACCATTAACCTTTTTTAAGTCATCAAAACTCTCAGGGCCCTTGACTATATTGAGAAGAATCCTCAAATGATATGCGTCCTCAGCGGAAGGTGAGACATACACCAGTCTGCCTATGGCAAAACCTTGTTTTCGTATCCTCCATTGCTGCTGCTTTGAGATCCAGACGAATTTTGTTAGAAAATCAGCATATGTTAGCTCCTTTGCCAAGGCATGTTCCTTGTTTGCCTCCATCCACGCTATAAATTGTGACTGACCTACCGATGCCTTGTTTAAGACTTGGTCAACGCTCTCTCCTTCGTGATATATACACATTTGTTTACCAGGCAAATGAAACGAAAGTTGCATTACTGCCGTGGTTCGGTACTGTGTAGGAATCTTTAGAAGCCTCCATGAAGATTCATACGGTGAAATGTATCTAAGAATGAGCAAATCAAACAGAAATAAATAATCTTGTTTTTCTTAAATCATACTTAAGTAATTATTCAAGCGATCTAATCTTAAAAATTAGTTTCGCAAAGTTACCTGCAATTGAAATGTTGCTCAACCTCATCTTGGGATATAACGGGGTTACCGTCTTCATCCTCGATTGCTGCTCTAATGTAATCTGGACCCTTGTTTATATATTTAAATAGGTACTTTATAGACCTGGTTTGGTTGCACCATTCAACGTTAACATGTGCCCGAAAACGCTTTAAGAGATCTGGATTATATGGGACAACATATCGGTTATCACACAAAACACCTCTCTTCAGAATGGTTCTTTGATCCATACGACGTCTATAGATGGGGAAGCCAGCATCATCGATTTTAGTAACTGATCCAGTAGGCTTAGGAAAGAATTTTGTACACCTTTTCTCATGCATACAAACATTTTTTGGATTGTCATCGCCGCATGGTCCATGTATCATCAAGTCTCCAACAATTTCGTACAAAATTGGATCCAAGTCCTTGTCCGGTATCTCTGCTGATATAAATCTATCTATGTCCTCGCCTGTTGGTAGTTTGGATTCGGGTTCCAAGAAAACAACCATGTGGGCATGTGGCAATCCTCTTTTTTGGAATTCAATGGTATACATCGCTGAAATAAAAGTAAAACAATTAGAAAAAGTTAGAAATACATATAATAAATCGAATTAGTATCTATACGTTAAGAATAAGTTGGCACGATTTATATATTATGACTCTTTACTTATATTTAATATTTTTGACATACCTGAGTTAACATGGCCCATAACGTGGTCTTTCGTTAGATAATTCACTAAATTATCGAGCTTCATTTTAAAAATCCTACAACAAATATCTGGTCGATCCTCGATCTTTAGATCATGTTTTTCCAAAAACCTCGTTATCTCAGGCCATTTTGGATTGCAAGTAATTGTTATGAAAAAATCCGGGTATCCGTAGTACTTGCATGTTGCCATCACGTCTAGATAATGTTTCCTCATGAATCTCTTACTTCCCGTGAATGAAGCAGGTATAAGCACCTTTTTTCCTTGTTCAGAAAGATCATTATTGCCACGTTCACCAGATTGTTCAATCTTATCAAAGCTGTCACACCGTAGCTTCTTTTGATTATGCCATATATAACGAAGCCTATTTGATTCTACCATCGTATATGCGTCAACCAGAAACTGCTGATACAATCTCCCAGACATCATAATGATTGGGGATTCTCCATGCCTGTCTTGAATGCGAAATGCGAAAAACTCGCGCATTGTAACGGTTGTGCGTTTCCTTCCAGATGTATCAACATAGTCAATATCAATACCTAATCTAAAACCATCTTCACCATACGGAAACAATAACGGATACTGCAAAGGTAAATAAGCCGGATGCAACTCACTTATACGGTATAAACCTCCAGACTTGCTTTGAATAACGATGTCTCTTTTTTCTGTTAACATATTGAAATCAGCAGGTATCAAAGCCGCCACATCGTTCTCAGTAGGTAAGTTATGCGTTCGACCATCAATAGTTCGGCCACTTGCAAGAACCAACTTAAAACCTTTAGAATTTGGATTTCCAACAAATTGTTCGCGTGCAGTTCTTAAGGCTTTAACATGAGGATTATGATCATCTAACATCTTCTTCAGAAGCTCCACGATATCTGGTCTCAGCTTCCTCGAATTACCAACATCCCTGAACAGTCATTTTGAAACTATTATTATTTATAAAAATGAAACACTATATTGATATAGATAAATAATAATATTATATTATAATAAAAATCGAAGATTACCCATAAGCATTCATCCTATTTTTAACTTCACTGATGGTATCATGGATATATAATTGTAGGAAGTTTGGTTGTTTGCCAGGTGCTGGTAACATATCTCCGATCAAATGATAATTTTCACCACACATTTGGAATAAATATGGACCATTACCGTTGTTTATAGTATTATCAACCTTTCCACCAAGTGACGTAAACGAAAACATCATATTGTATGCTCTTATGAATTCACGGAAGTGTTTCCTCGTGTTATCGCGATTATACAATAGCTTTAACAACGTATTTGGGAGAGCTTTCAATAAAGGTAGCTGAACTTTGCCACTTAGACAGCACATCGTGAAAACTGGAGTAGAAGATAGAGAGTGCTTGTTTATACGTTTTCCAAACCACATTAAAGCATGGCAATAGTCACACATGTAAGATTGATCACCATCATCATAATAACCTATAATTGATTTTAAATTTTTAAAATATAATAACTTGTATATATACTAATAAAAGGGAATTTGTTTGGATTTGTACCACTTTCCATCAAGCCAAAACTCGCGAATGAATTATATTCAGGATAATTCGGTGGTCTAGGTTTTTTTTGTCTTGGTCGTCGTTTGTTCGAATTACTTGGTGGAACAGCATCTGAATCTTTATCATCGTCCGTGTCCGAATCAGTAGCGACAAAACATAGAACATCATCGACATCAACGGACTCTGTCAATAATCTATAAATTTAGAAAATCAGATGAAGTTCGTTTTATATATTTAATATAAATCAATATAAAATTGTATTTATTCAACATAACCTTTTGAATTATTTATTGTTGGTAAACCACGCTTTGATCGAATGATATTCAGTCTGTTTTGTCTGGCTATTTTAGCCATACCAACACGTCCAATAGAACATCATCGACATCAACGGACTCTGTCAATATATCTATAAATTTAGAAGATCAGATGAAGTTCGTTTCATATATTTAATATAAATCAATATAAAATTGTATTTATTCAACATAACCTTTTGAATTATTTATTTTTGGTAAACCACGCTTCGATCGAATGATATTCAGTCTGTTTTGTCTGGTTATTTTAGCCATACCAACACGTCCAATAGATTCTTTATCAATGTATTGATGATAAACTGATTTTGGTAACGTTGGTGCATACGTTTCAGCCCTTGAAACGATTGCTGTATTAAGGATGAAAGGTGTTTCAGCGGCATATCAAAAGTAACAATACATGCATTTTTTTCAAAGAAACAGAAACACTTACGACGATTTGCAACAGGTATCTTAACGACCCTAGGTTTCGTTATTCTCTTTTTCTTCGGCGACATAGTTTCTGATAAGGTTTTCTTTTTCTTTTTTTGTACGGGTTTAGGATACGTTCATGAGAAACACTATTTAAACATATGTAAGGTTTTCCTATAATTTGTAGGGTTTTCATTTTTTCTTTATTGAAACAAACCTAATTTAACATTTTATGTTTTGTCTTTTTTTTGAGTTTAAGTTTATAAAATATTTAATATTAATAGAATAATCAATATCTTAGATACTTTGACGATTTCATGTGTTAATTTATGAAACTATGATAATATTAAAATATAAAATTGCATATATGCACAAACTGTAATATTTCACAATAAAGTAAGTTGTGTTACTTCGCAATATATATAGAGATTTAAGTACTTGTTTTGAATTTTTCGTTCTTTGAATCAATAATGCATCCTAAAAAAAACAAACCATAAATTCACATGTGCATAAATATCAGTACTAAAGTATATAAAAAACCAAAAAAAGAAAAACTAACATCGAGAATTATAAGAATATCAGTTCGAAGATTTCAAAACGTATGTGTTTGTTCATTGCCGTCTTCCTCTTTTCTTGCTATTACTTTTTTCGTCCACATTAGGCGTTTGAATGGCTGAATCTGAAACTCGTTTTGATACTGGCGATGGTGTCAGTGATGCAACTCTACCTGAGTACCTAAGTTCTAAATCATGTTCGAGGGATCGAATTCCATGATTTTCAAACTTATTCAACATATCTGCATCATCGACAACGATCTCGACTTTATAAGTTTGACGTCTGTTAGTCAGATTCTCCGTTCCTATTCCGATTTTGAAAAGGAGCTTCTTCCCAACCAAATCAGAAAGAGCTCGTGGAAGCACCAAAGTTCCGTCCTGATCAAAATATAAAAAGACGTTACACATAAATAATATAAGATTATATGATAATGTGCACAAAGTATTATTAAATGATATACCTCAGCAACCTCCTCAGCTAAAGTATCTGCTTGAACACGGAGAAATGCGCTAGCGATTTTATCAAACAGTAAGAATCTTATCTCTTCGCCAGACTCGTCGGAAACAACCAACACTAACTTATACCTACGAAAATATGAATATTTGTAAAGCCAAAAATTAAAATTTTTTTAAATAACTGCTTTGAATCAATGAACCATTTACCTGGCTATAACATCTGAGACAGCCTTGCCACATTCTCTACAATCAAATAGCAAGGAATCGTCATCGGTAGAATCAGATTCTATTGGATGAACTGTTTTATCGCAAGTTCTGCATGCAATATAATACCATATAGGATTATATTCGACTCGAACAACTGTCGCAGCAGTAACACATTTCATTTCCTACACTCGAAAATAATATATTTAAATATAAAAAAACAGATCATTCTCAAATATATAAAACAAATAATTATTATGTATAAATTTAAAATAAACTTAATGAACACGTACCGTATCGGCATAAACAATACCTGAATTGTCTTTCTTTCATTTCTATCAAAGAATTCATCTTTCCATGAAACAGACTTAGTGGACGATGATTGCACCTTATGTTCATTGGATATCACAAATGTATTGGTTGGCAACCTAACAAAAGTCATTCCTTTTAGTATTCATGATAGCTCTAAAAGTATACACAAACAAACAGATTTCATTACTTACAAGGCTCGAAAATCTTCAATTTGTTTAGAATGTGGATCGAGAAATATTTGTGTTGCGTTGAAAGAGTTTGAAATACTGTAAACTCCTACAAGAAATTAGAAGTAAAGTATTTAAAATTTTTTAAAAAGCGTATATGATAAACTTATTTATATCACAAATATTATGAATACAATTAAGTTCAAATATACCTTTCTATTCTGATACTGAAGCAAATCTAACAACACACACGATCACAGACGCAGTATTTTTCGTCACGTAGTCGATTACTTTCTTTCCGAAATTTCCCCACAGCGTGCAAGTCAAGCGATTATCACTATACGTAATCAACAAACTAAGTAAATTATATATGATTTGACTAAATATTATTTAATAAATTATATCATTATGAACTCACCTGGCATTACGTAGAACAACGTCCAACTTTTTTATTGGCTTTCCTTGAGCGATAACGTCAGAAGTTTCTAGACTAACAACCTGCCCTATGACATCTACATGAATATTTATAAAGAATTAGTACAGATAAGATGTATTATATCACAGTATAACCCGATAAATATAATAAACAACATATATCTAGCATACCTATTAAAACACTGTTTTCATAATCCCCATTACTTATAGTTGAAAATTCCTTAAAATATCTATAAGGAAGTTCCCTAGGAAAGTCATCACAAGGTGTTATAACAGTAGTCCTGTAGAAACTTATTTTAAAAGATAAAGGACTTGTCCTATATGCAGTAGTGTAATCTTTGAACGTGAAGTTGCTTAAGAATATAGTACGGCCTTCCGTCAATTCAGAATTAAATTGATCCACCAAATCTCCATCAACAGTTGCATGAATCCTAGAACCCTGATATAAACTTAATAAATATATAAGTTATTCATATCATAATTTTACTATACGATGCATGTTCATATATATAGATATAAAACATTAACATTGCCTACCACTTCATCTGCTAATACCATCTCTATGGATGTAACCTTATTTTTACGATATGATTTCCAGAGATTGATTATCTGAACCTTTATCTTGTAACAATCACTCGTTCTATCAATTTCGTCTATCAGAGCAGAGACGATTGTTTTCCGCTTGAGATAGGACTTCACAACTTTCTTAGTGTCAACACTATTATCTATTGACGACTCCATCTTCTTCTTTTCCCCGAAAATTCTTGAACCGATTTAATGAGGAAGATTAATCAGTCGTACATAAATATATATATATATATATATATATAGGAATTGATAAAAACCCTAGGTCTTTTGGATCGATGCAAATAAATAGAGTATCGTATCTTTTATTGATTTCTATATATCGAGTTCAATTTTAAGACTTTACATAATTTAAATGTAAATTTTACTTATTCCATTTCTCATATAAGTATATTTGTTATTTTTATCCAAAAATCAGTTGCGTGAAATTATGTTTTCAGTCATTTTAACATAAACATAAAACAAACATTATAATGATAATGAAATTAGCATCTTTTGTACATTTTCCTTTTATTTATAAAATCCTCTTTCATTTTTTTTTTTAGAAATATATTTCGAACTATAACCGTATATTATACTTTTTTAATTTCATTTAAATAATCATAATTTCCATAATTTATAAGTTTTTATTTTTGTAAATACTACAAAGAAGGAAAAGACACTCGAGTATGATGCGTACAATCATTGGCAATTTTAATATATGTAACAATAGCGATATATATGAATTTCATTGAGAATTTCAACTCGGATATAAATATATATACTGTATACGCATATTTATGAAAGATACTTTAACTTAAAATATATATATAGATATATGGAACATGTATAGGCAATAGTCGAGAAACAATTGATAATAAATGATTCGAAAACAATAATTATAACTATGAAATACTAACTTCACATATAATGAAGATGAAGAATTCGAAGAACACTTTAAAAAACCAAAAACCTTATGAAATGTATCCTAAAACATAAATTTAAAATACGAATAGTGAATATGGGTAATATTGTATCTATCTAATCTCGATGGTGAACATTCTCTAGACGATAGCTTCGACTGCTAATCATCCTGCGTAATAAAAATAAAACAACATAACTAAAAAAGGTTATGTATGATATTATATATACTATACATAGGAAGGTATGTACAGGCCATATTTTTCTCTGAATTCTTTGACTTCTGCAACATGTGGGTTCAGTACTACCAATGTTGGTTGAATAGCCGAGATCGTTACCTTTCCTGAAATAGGAAGTAAAATACTAAATTTATACCACGCATATTCAAACATTAATTTATATATGCAACTGACATACCTCCAAGATAATCAATATTTCCCCATCTGATTACACAAACAGCATTTTGGCTATCACAACTACGCCAGTCCTTATAGAACTTTAAAGCTCTTATGCCAGTCAATTTGCAAAAGAGACGAACGTGTCTACATGATTAAAATAATTAGCACAAAATTATATATGCTTGTATTCTTATAATTGTTCACATAGTTAAATTCGAGAAAGCATTTAACAGGGAATACAAACCTTAAATCCTCCAAGTAGAAAGTGATAAACTGGTATTCGCTATCAATGCACTTTTCCTCCAGTTGGTCCAAAGTATAACCTTCCCAAAAATGAAAATTGCCAACGTTTATAACACGGCCAATTATTTCTGAAACGAAAGACAGTAGAAAACTCATTATTATTTCTTATACTTCAACAAAATATAAATCATATATCAACATACTTACCAACTAAAAAGTCGTCACTGTATGTGCGGTTCAAGTTTACACGGAAGTCGATAAAATCGAAAAAATTCCGTTCGCAATGAAAACTATCACCATCTACGACAGTATGTGAACCCAAAACTATTTTAAAACGACGCGAAGTTGTCCTAAAAACACCATAGACATGAGCAACCTGGAAACGGCGAATCTTAATCCAATTTCCAACAGGAAACTGGTCTTCAAACAAAGCATAGCATGCGGTTGGTACAGTGGCATGTATTTTATCACCCTAGCATATGATATAAATTGTTAAAGTCTAATTATCGCAATAGTAATATGTTTTAAAAATATTATAAATGTAAATATATAAAACTGGACTATATAGTAAACAAACCAGGTCATCACATAGCACAGCCTCGAGACGCTTTTCAGATGGGTGTAAACTATGAGTCCAAACTCTCAAAACTTTAACATTAATCTCAAACTCACAGGGACCATCGGTTAGATGTATGACTTTTATTGGAAACACTTGAATCTCTTGAGACACCATAGCTGTATTTGAAGAGGAGTCGTTGGAACATTCATCACCATTATCAATTTCAGAATCTGAAGTAAAGAGCCTACGTCGCACGCAAATGCGTTTAGGGGGAGCTTTAACAAAGATACCATCCACAATATTTTGTGATGTTCCATGGAAATCATAGTTGAGATATAGTCTTTTTCCCAATGGACGTTTGGGCTGATGATCAGCAGAACATTCGGTTTTCACTGCCGATGCATCATTCCGAATATCATCAACATCATCACTCATGTATTCTTCATTTTCTCATCAACATCATCATGACTCTCGTCCTCGTCTCCTTCTTCATCACAACCATCAGACAATTCGTTCGTCTCATCATAGTCATCGTCTTCATTTTCTTCATCGGTTTCCTCACAATCATCACTTTATTCGTCCTCGTCTTCTTCGTCAATTTCATCACTATCATCACTATCAGTACTATCTTCGTCATCTTCCTCATCATCATATTCGTCGCCATCGTTATCATCACTGTCTTCGTCTTCTTCTTCGTCATCACAACCATCATACCAGTTGTCATCATCATCATTGTTATCAGTATCCGGTTGATCACTACCGCTATCATCACCATCATTGTCATCACCTTTGTTATCGGTTACAATGTCGCCATCACCAATGTCGTCAGTTCGATCACCATCAGTTGGATCATCTTGTTTGTAATTTGATTCGTCAGGGTCAGCACCAGTAGGACCTTCGTATATATATATTTATACATTTTTGATATATTAGTCGTCCCTCTATATAGATGTTTAATAAATTATCAACTTGAAGACTGTTCTGATCAAGAGACTTACCGTTTTGTTCATGTTCATTACAAACACCAATGCTTCTATTAGCTGAGTCGCTAATCATGTCATGTTCGAATTCATTATCTGGTCCTATATCAAACCAAATTATGAATATATTTGTAACGTCTAACAGAAAAAGATATTACTATAGGAATTTTTTACCAATTTCATTGATTAGATGACAGGGCACATCCCACAAACCCGACTGAACATCTGTGCGATCTCCATGAGCTGATTCAGAATACAATATTCCAAACCCAAACACCTTAGAACCCAATTCTCGTGGGCCACTCCTCTTTCTTAAACCACAAGGTATTTTGGACGTAGCTATAAATAATAAGACATATATAATTTATTTATCATTCAATGAGTTTTTTATTTATTTTTTTAATATAACACTCATACCGTTAATATGTGGAATATTATACAATCTTGAAGGATGTTTAGGGAGACGATCAGAGGATTGATAGAGGCGTAATCTCTCGAATGCCGTTTCAAGTGATGAAGTTCGATCAACAGTATTATGAAGAACTGAAAGATAAGAAAAAATTGTATTTAGATTTTTATTCCAAACATCATAAGCAAAAACGAAAATGTCTCTTTGCAAGAATTTATAGTATAACAAAAGATTAACGACAATCTTTTAATGGCTTAAAAATTAAGATAAATTTTCACGTAAAAGCATAAACTTCAGTTTATTATATTAAAAATAAGCAAAATAAAAACGAAAACCATTAAGTTACCATTGTTATCAGCAATAGAGGATGAATCAAGCAAGACGTCACATGAGATCTTCGCGTTATGTGTACCCATTGTGATTTAACCCTATTGAGAAATCGAGTTATAATTATAAGCTAATAGAATGGTTTCTTTTTTTTTATTAGTTGCCTAGAAGGGTGAGAGAATTATCGTAAGCTTACGATCGTATATAAAGCCGTGGTTTTTAGGGTTTTAAACGATTATATCTATGGTGCACATATTTTTTCCTTTTTATTAGTAAATAATAATATTTCCTATTAAAGATAAATCCTAGAATAACTAAAATGTATAGATCACATTTTATGTTAAATTATTTAATTTTCAAATATGTATATTTTCTTATTTGAGTATATACATATCAGCGATTAAGAAGAAGTGTTCTAAATCAATACAATTTATTTACGAAAGTTTTCTTTATTTATGAATAACTACCAAGAACTACAAAATCGATAAAGTAAAATGACTATTACTAAAATGCAAATTTTCTCAATTTACACTGGCATTTCTAGAAGTACAACTAATTTAAGAGATTATTTTTTAAAGATAAGTACCGGATTTTACAGAAATCATTAACACATAACTATATGCGATTTAAATTTATATTTATCTTTAATTAATTTATTTAATAATTATTAGTTACTACAATTATTTGGAAGAATTAATTTTCATTTATATATCAAAAAATAACATTATTTAGTTATTATGACTGCGGAGGTGACGATTATGTGGTTAAACCTATTCTGTAAAACATCTTAATATATATATTACATAAGAATTTGTAATAATTAACAGTAATGAATATAGTTTAAAACACCATAATTATTATACTGCAAAGCCAGAATTTATTACATAATAATAAAAAAAAAAGAGGATATCACTCTTTTAAATTCAGAACTTAATATAAGAAATACATAAAAGTAATCTTCTAGTGATTATGCATTCCCCGTTGCAGCCGTCCCAGCATTCTAATCTTCATATTCATCATCCAAAGGGGTAAAATCAACTGAAGTTTCAAGTCTGGAACAATATGACAATATTATAAAATCACAAAATAGATGTCAATAGAATACATATACAGGATATAACATCAAATATGTAATTTACATACCTCATTTTTGCTATTGCCACTTCTGGAGTAGGAGGATCCTCGAGAATATCAGATATGAATCTTTCCGATTCAACAATCCACTCATCTAATTACATATACATATTCAGTACGCATGTGGAAACAATATATTAGTTAAACTTCTGATTAAACGCATGTGGTTACAATAAATTTGTTAATCTTCTGATTAATTGCTGTATTGGATAGATATTAATAGTTAATATTTACATACCTCTCCACATATTGAAAGAGAAAAATCGCAATACAATAATGTGTCTTGAAGACTTATCACGATTCGTCCATAGTTCTTCAAATTTTCTTGCCAAGTTATCCCAAGCAATACATTTCAAGGAATTTCCACTGTATATATTTACACCAACATAGAAGATAATTAACATATTTTAATATATAAAGAAATCCAAGTCTGACATCAGATATTATGTGGACAAGTTGTACTTACTCAAGATCTTCGAGTACAAAACAAATAAGTGGACGTTCTGTGGGTATCCGATGTATCAGACATATGAACTCCACTTTGAAGTTTCTGAACAAAAGTGACAACCCCGAGAAAATCAACTGCAAAATTAAACAACTAAGTTTTAAAAATTCATTTATAAGTTATTGAGATAAACCAAGATAATAACATGCATATAGGAAACTTACCAAGATATCGGTCAGTTTGATTCGACGCAAGCAAAATATCTATGTATGCACAGAAAGAGTATATTTCTCTGGAAGATTTTGGATCGGTTTTCTCAGTGATTGTATCCTCGTTCAAACGTATATAACAGTTGTTTGATGATATGCTTGGATGGGGTAATCTGTCGGTAACTGAAAAATTACCAAGAAAATACCACTCTCCTTCGAGCAATACATCCTCGAATTTGTCAATTATTTCAGATGGCATGGTACAGAGGATGCGATTGTTCTACACAGTTTTAGTAAAAAAGAATCAATAAACGATTACATTCCCAAAACATGAACAGGGATAAATTTTAAAAATCTTACAAACTTACAAATTCATCAGCGAGAACTAACTTCCGATGAGGATAATGCATGTTAGTGAAATCATAATAATTTCGAACAACTTGGACACAGATACGTTGCCCGCCATTTATCTTGTGAAGTTCGGTAACTCTATTACATGGAGCCATTCTTTTTTTTTTTGGTTTGGAGATGAAGAATGAGACAAATGAACGTTTTTTTTATAACGCGGGTTTAATATACTTTAGAAACGACGGTTTTGCTTTTAAAGACGGGTTTAAAATACCTATGCAACGGTTCAGGCTTAATATACTTTTGAAACGACGTTTATGCTTTTAAAGACGGGTTTTATATACTTAAACTACGTTTAGCTAAAAATAACAAAAGTAAATGACAATTGATTCAAATGTGAACTTAAGTAAATATTTAAGAAACGATTTTGCAAACTGTCCTTTGATTGTCCTCAAGAAAAGTGAACAAATGAGAGAAAAATGTTTAATGCATTGGAGTTCATATTACTTAGAGAAAGAGTGTATTACTATATGACTTCAATTCTCATTTTTCTAAATACAATGTTCCAGATAAATAGAATAACCCTAAAACTAATAAGAAACAATGTCTATAAATTATAATAGTAAATATTGAAACATTATAGTATATTACAAAAAAACGAAAACGTGCAAGCTTTAAATTCAGATGATACAGCCTTATTAATTTTAAATATTTCGGATCTTCGTAATAGAAGATCTTGGTAAATCATACTTGAAACCACAATCCTTAATTGTTGTCGGTTCATTAGTCCAAAATCGAAAAATTACAAATTTATAAATAAATAATCGTTAGAATAGTTATATAATTATTGGGTAATAATATTTGAATATTCGTATATTTTTACAATTTGCTAGTGTAACATGCAAGGGTTTATCAACTGATAGAATATTACTTATCAATGCAGAATAAAGCAAATCAAACTGTAATAATTTTTGCATGAAATAACTTTGACAGAGGAATCTAACTATTTACAATCTTTGGGAAGTTCAACTGACATAATTATACCGCCTGAAAAGTAACACTGTGATATGCACTATTTATAATTTTATGGTTATTCGTTTATACAATATTATTTTGATTTATCTGTATGTATTTTTTCTTTCAACGTTGTTTGTAACCACGTAAGAACAACGTTGATATCAACATTTCCGGTGATTTCTTTTTTAGTATTACGCACAAATCTGATCAATGTCATAGCCAACACTGAGATATTATGTAAATTTTTTTTAACAACTAAACACTAAACAAAGCCTAGATTCTAAGCTAAAAAATGTGTTTATTTATTCTGTTAATAAGAATAATGAAAAACTCTTTTATACGCGTGTTTAAGGATGTAGTATTTAGGATTTTAAACTAATAATCTTGGTACGTGTGAGTTTAATAATTTAAAATAGTTAGTAATAATTTTCCAAAGCGCTAAACCTTAAAGATGAGTAAAATGTATAGTTTACAATTATTTCCTAAATGGCTAAATATTGAATTTTTTTAATTTTATTATTTGCGTGTAAATATGTGACCATTTTGGGTAAATAGAATTCCATTCA